AGTTGATGAGCCAAGGTTACTTCACTGGGCTGTACGTGGATGGCCGTGGTTAGGCCTTATCATGAGTACGGGTTCAACACGGTCGTGTCATCCTTATATTGTGAGTTGTTTTCATAGTGCACGACTTCTTGGTAACTCAAAGGTGCCTTAACTCGGCCTCACCATCAGTGACAGATCATGGAAATTGTTGTCTTGACCAAACAACACATTTGTACTCAGAGGTCAAGAGTCAACTTCCTTAATAATATGGTCACGGCTGTTAGAGTTTGCAGTTGAATACCTTTGCCATTCTTATGTAGGTTGCGCTAAACAAACTTGCATACGTTGTTCGCTCCGTCTCCACCTAACGTAGTAATAATATTGTACTGTTTATTGATTCGGTTCGTTCGTAGCCAAGACGATTTGAAAAATTGTGGAACCAATGAAAGTAGCATGGGCAGTTCATCCTTGTTTGTGTTCTGGATCAAAAGTGCACATAAAAACGTAAAGTGCAATTCGGCAGCATTGAACCTGGTGCCAATTACATATACCTGACCCTGGAACAAAATTCTATTCTCAATGTCTCCTCCTGTAAACCACTGATAAATCTATCTACTTTTTGGAGCATGCAAGCCGTAGGCTCATGTTTAGAACATAGTCCTTTAAATGCGCATCGCAGTTTCTCCGAATTCACTTTGGCCACATAAGCTTTCCATTCCTAATTTGCGATATGATTCTGCGGTAAACGTTCACGTTTTCGATCCGGAACGTGATGCGACTTGTCTACTTTGAATGAGATCGCTTTCGAGCATGCTATATGCAGTTCATTTCAGCGTAAATCTGGAGTTTCATCCTTACTATACTATTTTCGGTAGAATAAGCTTCATTTTTTGTTCTTTTTGTAGAATTATGTTTTTGCTACGCATCGTGTACGACAAATTGAGCATTTAAGACAATTTCTGTGCATCGACTCATTTTCATTCTTTCCGGCAATGTTTGTATGACCCGGGATCTGCCAGCCAAGAGAAATTGTTACTCGTCAGTCTGTTCCAAAACTTGGGTTAGTGGGTGGGAAAGGTGTGCGGACACGTGTGTCTGTGTCTGTCGTTTTTCTGCTCATTTAGTTTACATCCTCTAAAGGAAAAAGTGCAACAAGTAACAATATTTGCTCTCAGTTGTATTGCCCCCGGATCATAGAATGAAAAGTTTCCTCGGGATCCCTTGCTGAAACATACTGAAATCCACATTTGAATTCTTTTCCAAACACTCAAAACAGAATAGGGCAGGTATTCAACTCGAATTTGCACCGTGGGCGCATGAAACAAATAGCTAATAAAATCGGAAAGGAAGGGCCACGTGTGCTCGACACTCACAGATAGGGGTGAGAAATGTGATCGAATTTACTTCTCCTTGGGACACCTCGAGATGTAATCTCTATTCGCCAGCGCTAAACTTGATATGACGACCACAAATAAGATGTGCACCAGATTTTTTTTAAATTGAAGTCAAATTCTCCCTTAGGTTGACATTATGCGATATTTCCTTTCCAAATTTTCTGGTTATTTCTTTTTCACGTGAGTGTGACTGCGATTGCTCGGGAATGAAGTCATCGAAAACATACGTTTCCCCTGAAGCGGAGTATTTTAATGGGTTCATTTCACTGTACTCCTTTAAGAATAGAGTACCTAATGGAATTTGTCTAGATTGAAATTGAAGCATTTTGATCAATCTATTCATTACAAGCCACAGTTCACCATTGTGATTTTCATTATTTATCAATACTGCTGAGCGTGTCCAGTTGCGAAAGTCACCAATCTTTATGCGTGGAACCTGATTGGATTTTATTCCATCTTTATTACTCCCAATCCACGAGTTTCACATTCTTTGAACACAGTTACCAGAGTGAAACTGGATTGAGACAGACAACGGTCGAACCAAAGTGGCAACGCGTCAACGACCAGACGGGTGTGAATCACTTGATCGCATTGTGTGAACTACTCTGCTCAGTTCTGTTTTTATCCATCAATCATCTAGGACCGAACTGTTAGACTTACAGCTTTTTCATATATCTATCATATCAGCTGATTAGTCACAACCTAGGACTCTAACTGAACTGTTATCTGGTCCGCCAGTATTGATCACATGAAACGCATGACTCGTCCCGACTCTAATTTGAATTGTAGGCCTCTCGGAACAACATTTATAACATCATAACGTTACAACAGTTATAACCCGGTTGATCAATTTTTGCAAGCCGACCGAATTTTTCATGCAAATTTTTCTCCCCTGATCGACCTACGGCTAAACTTCAGATCTTGCTTGTACTGAAAATGACACATTGCCTGGTCATTACTCTTCTCTATTATTGTTAAATCACTAATTTGCTTCACTTTTTAGTGCAAAGTGAACTTCCATCTGTTTAGTGTTATACTTCACCAACAGGGTTCCCGGGACATTTGAAATTCGGTACTTTACTGATCTTTTGTAGACTCACTAAATTTGCTGATTTTGGGTGTTATCTTTCGAATACCCATTCAGTCAACCAGTGTGGAAAGGGGTACAGTTAGGAGGAATACCCCTCTGAGGGTAGTAACAAGAATGAAGATACACGATAGGAATAAACTAAACGTGTCTATGCAGATGTATGCTACACGAAAGCCACTATTTACCACACATAGTCCTATTACTCAATGTTTCTGACCATTGACTATACCGGTTACGGATTCCTCACCCCGGAAATCTAACGCAGCTCACTTGACAGAACAACTTGATCATTCCAGGTCATCTTTGGTTTTCTTCCTGCCTAGGTAACCATCGCACACTGAGGGGGCTTGTCTGAGGTTAGGCGTAACATGTGGGATAATCAGCATACGAAGGTTTGGCACTTGCGTTGGTATTCAAGCGACATGAGAGCTAAGCATACTTTAAAATGTTTGAATAAATGTTTTTGTATTTTCTCTCGTACGATCTAGTCACCGTAACTCAAATAAATTGATCGAGACTAAATTCATGCTTTCACACTATTGATCTTACTTGCTTACTTGAGTTGATGTTTGTAGGGCCTGTCTCCCTTCATAGTATTATTTTTTCATGCAGTCCATGCAAGAAAGGAATTTTGGAATTTCCTCAGAACAATCTATCTGATGTGAATAATCATCGCGGATGCACAGAATAGTCTAACATTTGTAAATCTGTCTCATCCGTCCCCTATATTCGTCTTTCAAGCTTTATGTTTGTTTAAGTATCATATTCAGTTCTCAGTTCATACAGTCGGTGAAAAACTCGGAAGCACTAGATGTCAGGGAGTCAGCATGCTCCCTGAAAACTGCATTGTTCTGGGACAGTAAATCAAAACAAGGATATTCGAACTCATGTGATTAGCCGGAACCGCCAATTAATCAAGATGGTTGTCAGAAATCTAGTCCACCAATCGTTTGATATATGCACTCCCCTGTCCTCGCTCTTCCCTATAGATAACCATGATTTTTGGATAATAGACGAATTCCTGCACGCTTCTTGCTGTGTTCTGTTTCACTACGTGTGGTGCTCTTATCTGGACTTGGAAACATTACCGGATGGCGATCCTTCAGGAATCCAGTACCGATAAAATCCTGTATGGTTATAACACCAGACTCGAGTTTCTCTTTTACTAGAGCTCATCGATAATGCACATCCACCGTCCCGTTCGGGTTTTGAGCGAAGTTAGTCCAAATCGATATCAGTTATTCTACACCACTACTCACAAGTAACTGTTATTTAAATGTGAATTATTATGATGATGAAATATGTAGATATGGGCTTTGTCGGTCAAGAGTTGTTAAGTTAGATGTGTCAGGCGAAACAAGTAGGCCTTGAACCTAAAGATTTGACACTCAAGGTCAATCACTGATGTAGAAGAACTAACTTGACCTATTTGTGTTTTGCTTGGGATTGAAATTTACGTACGTGACTTGGATGAACGTTGTAACATGCGAGCTTGGTGTTCTATGGAGTTGTGCATCGTTAACAGTGGAGTAGTTTTAGATAGTTTCTGCCCTCATCATACTACCGTTTCAATGATACAAGCAAAGGAGACTTCATGCTGTGGGAGGAACTTTTTTACTGCATATCCTCTGATTTGTTTCCGCACATTCTGATATCTATCTATCTGAATCCATACATTCATTGATATTACGTACGAAATCATTTATGATATATTTATTTTTTTTAGTTTAGATCTTCCAAAATCGTTCGATCCTCCGATTATTCGATGAAATGTTGGAGCGTCCGTAACGTCGGAGCACATTAATGAGCATTTGATGTATGACTAACTTCTCCAAATCTTGACCAACTAAATGTTTGACTATACCTTTTTCAGTTTCAGATGTCCGAAATCCAATTTAAGATGTCTCAATATGAATTTAAGATGTCCGAGTAACAAGTAAGATTTCATGTTGCTATGTTTTTACTCTCTACTATCCACATAGCAACATGACATCTTAGGTTGATGCTCGAACATTTTAACTTCATATTATGACATCTTAAATTGGATTTCGGACCTCTTAAACTGAAAAAGGTATAGTTAGAAATACATTTTCTGTGTGCTTGGTTTGCGTTCGCTGATTCATCGGTATTGCGTCGCAATCATTCCGATATTCTCGTGTGTGATGCGCTAATCTACACAGTTCATGTTGGAATAGAATAAAATGATGCATGGGGGAAGATCAGGCAAATTCCATATGGTATCACTGTTATTGAGCTATGGATTCAGTCACGCGAACGCGGAAGGGCCTGTGACTCATATTAGCCGATTTTGGCTATCCATTGGCACATTGAGGGCCACTTGAACCGTTCGCCTGCCTGTTTGTTAGTGTATGGTCCGATTCGCCATGTTCGTTACACGTCTCTCCTGGCCAATCAAATTCACTCGAAGCGAGGTTTTTCTCGCAGTCACACAAATCCATACGCACACACGTCCAGCAGCTATGCACATGATTACCCAGTAGTAGACTGCCATGTGACCAAAACCAGCGTCCCGACTATTCATCAAATTCATTCTCCATCACCAACGCTGATTTAGATTGAAATAATGCGCATAGGTTTGCTGATTTTATACTGATTATTTTCTTCTCTTTCTCCTGTCCTCCTCCCTCGAATAGCAATTGACTCACAGCCCCAAATTCATCATCGATGGAATCAGTCGGTTCGATATTCGACAGGGTGAAATCGGTACGTCCTTTTCCAGTCACGCAACAAAATATTTCTGTGCTATTTGCTGTCTTCATAGCCATTATTTCTGATACGATTTTTCTACTTTTTTGTTTGTGCATTTTCTTCGGAATTTTCATCTCAATCGTTTAAACTCATTGGACGACTAAACATAGCCCATGCTTTACAGAATAGTCATTCAACCCGTCTTACTTCCCACACATGATCGCCACGTGCGGTGAGACAGGCTATCATTGCACAGGCTTGGATGATGTTGTAGAGGTTTGATTCAGGCTAGTGGATCACCGAAATCGGTTACGAATTGCAAATATTCAGTTTGTGCTGTTTGTGTGTTAATTAAATTGGCTTATTTGAATAACGTTTCTTCTAAATGTACGCATTATTTCATCACTGCCCTATAGGTTTCGCACCTGTATAAAAATCGAGTTCAATATGGTTGGGGACAGAAAACACAGTGATTGCTCATTCACTGACTTGTGTGGATGCCTTAGATTTTGCACCAACTAGCTATAGCTATATTCGTTGTATTATGTGGTGGTTTGATAAAAGGTAGAACTGAGCATTCCTTGGCTTACACGTGCATGCTAAACCAATGTTCTAGAGTGGGCTGCTCGACGAAGGGAGTTACCATAGTGAAGAGTGTTCTATTCATGCATTCACTCTGTACAGAGCTGATGCTACCATTGACTGGTTTATCGACCTGTGCTACATTGATGAAATGTTTTTTTAAGGGACAGGAATACGTGAACCGTACAACTTATTTAACACACTTGACGTCTGTGATGCCCCAGTCTGGCACGTGCTTTGCTCTATCGAATTGCGAGATGATTCCCCATTAGTGTCACATCCGTCTGCTTGATTGTGATCCGGGGAGCTATATAACTTTCAAACCCAAACAAATAAGCTGCTACTTCAAAAGAGTCGATTGATAGCGTTTGTGTTATTATCCACAGGGCGGTGATGGCCCGGTGGTAATATCACCAAATTAGTACCCCGCAGGACGTGTGTTCGAATTCCTTCACCACCGCCCGATTTTCCCCGTTGTGTATGTTGAATGACATCCCTTTGATTGGCCGCTTCCCCCCTTCCTGAAATTTGTATCTTTGTATATTCAATAAAAGGAAGTAAAAGCGCAAAAGAAGACAAACAAGATTGGTAGCTTAGCCATCACAAGTCAATGATCCCAATATCAATCCATTCAGGATGAGCGAATGTTTCTATAGATCTTCTTTATTCCTTGAATGGGCTACCGAAAGGGTGATCAGATTGCCACCAAGCGCATACTCACGTTTGCGAACAGCAACAAAATTTGCGACTAAATGTGAGTGTGATTGCAATTTTTATTATGACTTCTGTAGGCGTGAAGCCAACAGTCAAACGGATTCAGGCCCACTGAATAATCTGCCGCGCCAGATCTTCAGGATTACCTGAGGATGCAATGTTTTTCCTTTTGACAAGGGTCTTCTCTATAGGTGCCAAAAGACTCGAATGATTTTACTGTAACTTGAAAAATGTCACCGGAAATTAGGAGGGTTATTACCCCCCGTCCGGTTCTATCTTACCTTAAAACGGGTTTCTGGAGGAGGCAAATAAACCAGACTACGGTGGCCAGTTTGTGTCAAATAACCCTGTTGTCTTGTCCGTTGCATACGGATGTGCGAAGGCTAAGGGTACAACCTAGAATGAAAAGGATTTCGCCGGTGACCGTATCCCCAAGAATATCAATGGATCATTGTAATGACATGAGGCCGTTTTATATCCTCGCAGGATGTAAACATACTGAAGTTCAAAATGAGAGACTGAGTGGAGTTGGGATCCTGATTGTTCGTTCAATTATTCGCCTAGTTTAACTTACTCGATAATAAACATACCAACCGTACAAGACCTCTGTTGTTCAAATGAAGCCAGCCAAACGTGAGAGTATGCTGAGACGCGAATGTAGACATAAATAGACATGTAAAAGAAACCGGTTGATTCATTTACCATCATCAATTCAATGGTATCAAGCTTGTGTTAGATCAGTTGCACTCACATTAATTGAATATTGGATAAAATGAGCACTGCGTTCAGCTAGCCTATTGTTTTATTTCACATTGGATATTTTGAAATAGGACTGTAATTTCAAAGTATAGACGAATGGTTTAGGCCTATGCCGGATGAAAGTGAAATAACTATTTTATAACAGAGGGTAATTCACTGAAGGAGACTACAAACGGTATATTTCATTCATCCATCTACTCGCGGTGATTGTCTTAACGAACTGAAACTGCAGACTTTGGGTGTACATGCCACGATTGTAATTAATAGGAGGCTGCCTAAACCCTGAGGTCATTCTAAGACTAATTGATTCGATGTGTAGTTGAATTTCTTGGAGTTCATATAAATGGTAATCAATATCAGCTCATGATAATAATTATCTAGGCCTAAGTGAATTTTATTTTTTTGAGTCAATTACACTCAAGCACTCGAGATAAGTATTTGTTGTTACCCAAAAACGCTCATTGTTGATCCATTCTTCGCTACTTACGGGTCTTTTCAGCAACATTGTACTATACCGTTCCCTCTTTGCAACAGGCGACTGCTGGTTTTTGGCAGCTCTATCCAGTTTGTCCATGCATCCAAATTTACTGGAACAAGTAAGTTTATGCATCCATTCATCCAATCTAATCTGTATCGCCTTCTATCTTCGCATCTACCAACTCAGAATGCTTGCTGACATATTTCACCGCATTTTATACTCCTAATATTCTTAGTCGTGTCAACTGAAAACCTCGATTTCGATTGATTAATTAGGAGGTCCTCCACCATTCATTTCAGCGCGTCATTCATGCTACTGAAAACCATTGGAGTCCTTTCCTGACTATTTTATCCGAGTTAGGAATTTGTACCGGCTCATGTGATAGTGATAGCTGGAATCGTGGTGTGTACAATGTTGTGAGTCTCAATCACTCAAATGTGACCTTTATAGAAGTTGATCTGTTACCCTGATGTTCGTCAAGTGATTTAAGTCACCCGTTCTGGCGCACTTTGGTCCATAAGATCCAAATTTTCAATTGTTTTACTGCCACTCTTGTCGATCCTTAAAGAGTTGTATCGTCATACCTCAGGTCGCGTTAGGGTCTATGGCCAGCTTTCGCCACCCTCCGCCGTCTCCAGTGAAGTTCCTTAAGGCTGTCCTATACCTCTATTTTCAACTTTGTCATGGAGCATGTTCCTACACTATGCTTTGTGCGGTCGAGCAAACAGTCGAATCAAACTCCTCCCAGGGAACAGAATCCTTGACTTAGAATGTACTAATGACATCGCCTTGTTAGGTGACAATACGCAGAGAGTACAACACGAATTAAACCGCTTGGCGATAGAGGTATCCAGATGTGGTATGTGATTTGTACCATTCAAGTGCAAAGTGCTACGCATGACGGACGTTTACAACAGGATTCTTAAGCTTTCCCTTAATGCTTTCAGGCTTAGGAAGCTTGCTGTTCCCCCAAATGTAATTTTCGAACTCGTGATCACATGCATCCCCCGTCATTGGCTTTACTGTTCTCTTGTACTTTTTCCCGACCTGAAAGAAAATGATTTCATGTTGATTTGCAGATCCATAAAACTCCTTTCCCCATGTAGTGGCATAACCAGAGATTTCCGGGTTGATTTTATCGTATGCAGTCATATGGACGCATGCGAAAGGATAGCCGATAAAATCTTGAGCAAAGAAGATCACTGCTTGCACAAAGAACTTCTTCAATCCATGGTAACCCCCCTCTCGTGCCTGCTTTCATTATAAACTCCCTCCCGTACGCACCGTCACATACAGAAACAGCATCTTCTCTTTTCTTGCCCGCTTTTTAGTGAATCGAGCACCAATTATTACAGGTCTGGTGGAGCACCTCATGAGTTAGTTTAGTTATTCATTTTTAATCTATCATTATCGTCTTGTTGCTCACAGTGTGCTGTCGTTTTTGTTTGCCATATTCACACTTATGCGATCCCCTCCCTCACTTCCACTTTATAATCGTGAGAAATCGCTGAAAATTCATCCTTCGGGTGCATAAAACTTAGTTTTACTTGTCAGGAGCATCGGTTTGCTCCAAGATGGCAGACTCTGATCTGAAGTACACGAACGCCATTGTGCTGTTAGGTGAAGACTCACTTAAATTGCAAGCTTTTCTCGGTAGCTTGAGTGCCAGCGTAGCCATGTTCGGTATGCGTTTTGCACCTTCAAAGCGTAAAGTTTTGCCACAATAC